GATGAGCTAATTGTGATACTATCCCATTGTCCTTTAAGTAGTCCCTGAATTCGTCAGAGAGATATTCGCCACCTCGATCGGATCGAAGGGCTTTAAGAAGCGAATGTAGGAGAATGGCGATGGAAAGTGATTGGGGGTCCCCCACTATTTATACCCACAGTGACCGAAAACCGATGGCTCTGATCGAGGCAAATCCAACGGCTCGCGATCAAGCTGACCGCACGCCTCCTAAGACCGAGACATGACTGGCCGCACACCTTTGGAAACTGAAGCGTCGCCGGCGCACATCTCCCAGCATTGAAGGCAGTAGTGGCGCATTTTTTGAATTTGAAATAACGTCCGCTGTCATGTCTCCCAGCATTTAAAGACGGATTGGCGCATTTTTTGACTTTTTGGCGCTCGGGGAATCCGGAAATCTCCTGACGTATGCATACTTCACGCCATCAGTCAGTCGGTTTGAAGTATGGGTCAAATCCACCTGTCACCTCGCGAACGCCCCGCGCTAGGGCAAGACTCTTAGCGCGAGGAGTAGGGGGCAATTGATGGAGGAAGATTTGGCCCAACCTCTTGGCCACCCAACACATGGAAGCAACCGAGGGTGGCCTGGTAGGAGCAACAGCTCGGCACGGTTGTGCGCTCAAGGCACGAGCTCCGAGAAGAGGAACCCGCGGTCCGAGCTCCCCAAAAAGAGCCCAAACTCTCCCTTTGACCCCGAGCTTACAAGGAACGCAAAGGGCAGCCACCCGAACTGGCCCACCCCAGGGCAGTTCGGGCCACACTTCTATCCGAACTCAAGACTTCACCTCGCACACCACTCCAGCACTTCGCCTCTAGGCCGCCAAACTGAACAACCGTACCTGACACCAAAGGAATTTGTGTCCTGAGGCAACGCACCTGACTAACTTAGGATCTGACGCTTGACAGCTGCAATTCAACGGCCACCTGCCACCGCCACCTCCAATTATAAAGACGGCTCCGACAAAGAGAGCAGTGTCGGTTGTCTGCCCCAGTAGAGGTGATGACACCCGAACTGGCAGAAGTGCAGAGGTGATGACACCCGAACTGTCAGAAGTGCAGAGGTGAGTGCGCGAAGTGGTTATAAAAGGTCATCTTCCCCCCAAGAAGGGAGGTACGTGATAACTTTGCGCATCTGGTTTTTTATCTCGCCTTTGAGAAAATACTAACTTGAGCTTCGAAGCACTCTCACCGGGTCCCTCCCCGGAGGCTACTTGCTTTCTTCCCCGTTTCAGGCACCTTTTGCTCCAGTCAGAGGCAAGATCATTGATAGCTAGGACCGACCGGATTAAGCTCCATCAATATTAAAGTGCAATTTTCCCTTTTAGATAATATCCCTTTTATTAATTTGTGAAAAATGGATGAAATCTGTAAACTTGAAAATTACAGTCAAGCGAATTGGGAAATGGTTGAGAGGGTTGATACCTGTATGTATTAGCGTCAATTTTAAATTTAAAAACAGATTTTTTTTTTTTTGTGTAACGTAATATTAATATGACATTCTTCAATTCAACGAAAAAATGATGCGGTGGAACTGCTCGTTGGATTGATTAATTTGTCATCTAGCCACATCTAATTATTTATGGGCCCATTTGGCATTCCACCATTAAGCCATTTGCCGTTTGCAAAAAACCATTGACTCAGTCAATGATGTGATGACCGGTCAGTTGAACTATTAAATTATTTAGACTCGGTCCGTGAGTCACGAGTCAAATATAAATTTTTTTAATTATCTTATCAAAAAAATATTTTTATTTAATTATCACACAAAAGTTTATAATGATAGAGATATGCCTATTTTTTTATAGATAAATCTATTATGTGAAAAAAGCTCGGACTAATCAAAACCCGATGAGTTTTGATCAGTTGATGAATACCAGCGGTTACCACTTTATTTTATGACAACAGTACGACACCGGTTAATTGATTATAAGTTTTTTCGGTATTATATTTTTCAGGTATTATAGTCCGAAAACAGATTTTCCCTTGTGACGTCGCTAATTAATCTTCTCAACTAATTAATTAAAAGCGTTGACCCGTCACAGAGATGCGTATATGCGTTCGTTTCAATTCGGACCAGATCTTAAAATGTTTGCTCTTAATAAATCACCATGACTTTGTCGTTTTGGTGATACGACGACCTCGATCGTTATAAAACCCATAAAAGCAAATGACACAAGGCCATCTATATTATAATCCCGTTTAATTTTATATATTTTTTTGATAATTAAACATCTTACTGGTTCTATTATTACAAAAATTAAACTAGTTTATTAGAAAATTCGTTACATGACATAAACTAACAGGGATTTGTTGATATATTGTATATAAATAGATATGATAGACCCGTTCCAAATTGCAATCCCCTTCTCCAAGTAAGGCTCTCTTGTGAAGTCAAATCATCCTCATATTTGGAAGCTTCCACGAGGCGCTGTTTTCAAACCTCTAATTGATTAATCGGCTTTTGATTTTGAACAACGAGGATGAATTCCACATTCCCACCACACTAGAAATACTTCGGTCTCCTTCAACCCAAGCTGTGTAGAAAAGCTTTTCTTCGTGAATCAAGAAGAAACCCGTCTACAGATGTTCAGTTCCTTCATTTGTGGCAGTTTTCATCATCAACGGGAGGAAGAAGAAGATGATGGTTCATATGTCGTTCCTTCTTCCACACCAAAGAAAGCAATCCGAAGTAGCAGCTTCTGCAAGAGAAATAAGAAGAACAAGAATCCTTATTCAACCCGTGGTCTCGACAAATTCTCTACTCTTTTGGCAGATCTTCAGGCAAGAAGGCAGAAGATTTATGCACAGATGGGGTCCCAAGACATGACTTCTGTTCGTTTTGTCTATTCCAACACAAACGGTAATTGGGTACCGATTGTGGTGAAGATGAAAGATCCCAAACAGGAGAAACCCAAGGTGGTTGGTGGCGAAGATAGCCCCTTGACACAGAAATCAGAAGCCTTAGTAGTAAGCTCTCTACCAGACAAGCCTTCGGCAGCATCGGACGATGTCTGTGTTCAGACACCGGAGCAGCTGGCTGAGGCAACAACGAAGAAGTGCTCGTCATCATGGAGTATAGATAAGTGGAGCAGACCCTCCCAGTATTTGCCCATGGTTATAATCCTGATTCTCTTGTGCTTGGTGATGTTTGGGAGATCGTTCGCAATAATTTGCACCTCCCTGTTGTGGTACTTGGTGCCCACTGCAACCAACGACAGAGACTGGAATCTGATGAGAAGGTCATTCAAGAAGAAAGAGTATGTGAGGAGGTTGAGTGAAAATAAGATCATGAACAGTGGTGGATTATCATCTCCTACTACTCCTAGAGCTAACAATTTAGGAAGCGGTGCCACCAGAGAATCACCACCTAGAAAACATAGGACTGGCAAAGGCTGTTGATTCTTTCTCTCCCTCCCCAGTCGGCCAGTCGTCACCCCTTCTCGTCAAGAATCAAGACTTGACTTGGTTAATTAATTTACAACATGTTCATACATGTTGTTTTCTTTTTCTTTTCTTTTTTTTTTTTTTTGTAAATTTCCTTCTAATTTTGATTTTACATGTTGGCTTTAGTTGGAAGTCGGTCTATTATATTGGCATTGGCATGCGCAATGTAATTAATTTTGTGAGGTTGGATTGGAAATCAAGCAACCTGTGATGATAGCTTTTGTACCAATGACAGGATTTTGTGGATTAAAGATGTTCCGAGTGAAGCCTTATCAACAGTGAATATATGACCCCACTTAAATATCCTGTCTCCTGTGATAGCGTCTATTTCTCCTCTACCCAAAGGTCTCGTATTATAGCCCACAAATATCATTCCAATCGTTTTCTTACTCGTCATGTTGGCAGTTATAAAAAATAGGGTAAATTATAAAGAACCTCCCTGGGGTTTGTGACAAAGACTCTCCTGTACTTTGTTTTGCAAGAAAGGCACTCTCTCTCTGAAGTGATGAGAGATCCATCCTATGRACACCCAAAAGATTGTGGAATAAGGGGCGAATTTCAAAAATTTTTCTCTCCCTTCAACGGGGAATCATATTCCCCATTTAAAAAATCATATTTTCAAGGATCAATTCTGAACCATAAACTGAACCAGATCTGAACCAAAAAGRACTGGGAAGGATTATACCTGATACGAAGAAGTAATATCTCCCAACGAAGGTGTTCACGCCCAAGGAAGGATCCAAAGACTGCTCCCACTGAACATGGCGCAGTGCAGGTGGAGCAGAATCAGCAGTGTTCTTCTCCAAGAACTCTGTCCTTCGCAAGAATCAGCAAGATGGCACGTGA